ATAATGTGGCTATTTATAAGTGAAACTAAAGCCCTACGATAAAAATAGAAAATAGAAGTGAATTGATGAGATAAGGTATTTATAAATGAACGCTCTATGACTTTTCACTTTTTGTGTAGTTGTAGTTTACTCTCTGAGAAGCTTCAAGTCCAGTAAATGTTTACCCCTTGTCCCCAATAAACATATACAAGAGCAAAACATAGCAGAAACCAAATAAACAACACTCTTAGGCATGCTACGTGTGTGTGTGTGTGTGTGTGTGTGTGTGTGTGTTGCATTAAAATTGGAGATATGTCTCAACTACTAGATGTGAGTCACTAGGTTAAGAACTGTTTGTGACATTATACTGCATAACAAACCCGTTTTTCTAGTCTAAGTTTGTATTTTTAACCCTTTGTCGCATATGTATTTGCAGATGTCATTACTTATACTAGATGGTGAAATCACATAAGTTGGGAAGGGAATATTTTATTAGTTCTAGTCCTAGTGTTAAATTCTTTATATCACATGACTAGGTCTGTTGAGTGTGTGACCAAATGTAAACAATTACTTCTACAAGGTAGTGATTATTTAAGACTCCTAAATTGGTGTAATTTTAATATTTAATTTATAAATATTTTGGCAAGTTTCGCTGGCCTGATGCTGGGTGCCATCAGTCTAGCCTTTGGAAACTGCTGATGCAATAAGAAACTTAGAACTAGAACTGACCCTATTGTATTCCTTTTCTGACCCTACCATTGTTTCCCACAATAAGCCAGGAATATTGCCTTTGAAATTATATATTTCCACGACTGTGTTAACCATAGAGGAGATGCTCAACAAATATTTATCAAATAAATGGATAGAAACTTACTTGGAGCTATACTATAAAATAATACAGTACTTTTAAATACTTCAGGCCTGCTAAAAAAAGTAGAATTTAAACATGGTGAATCTTCTCCTAGGTATGGAAGGTTTATTACCAAAACGTTCAATCAAAAGGCAGAAAATTTTTGAATATTATCAAGTTTGAATAATGGTTTTAAAAATTCCTCAAAATATTTAAAGATAACTGACTCTAAATATTTAGAGATAACTGATGGGGTGGCCCAGTCAGTTAAGTGTCTTACTCTTGATATCAGCTCAGGTCATGATCTCATGGTCATGATATTGAGCACAGATGGCCTGCCTGAGATTCTCTCTCTTTCTCTCTCTCTCTGCCCATACCCTGCTTGTATGTTTTCTCTCTCTCAAAATAAATATTAAACAGCAAAAAGCAAGGTTTGGAACCAGTCACACTGTGAGGTTATCACGAAGGCACTCATTTTCTCATATATGGAAATAATGTGGAATTAATAATGTGGAAATAACAGGACCTTTTTTGATTGTGCATAATGACCATTAGGGTTACGTTATCTACATGAGCTGAACGTTAGCAAACATCTATGGTAGGACACAATAGATAAACACTTGATCCTTTCACAAGAGAAAATATCCCAATTTGAGTAGGAGGTGTGGACGTGTTGGGGAATTGTCACATACATCATCATTCTTATTCTCAGTAGGGTACCAAAGGATTTCCTGATCTCTGCTTCCTAGTCCTCTTCACAGCTGTAGTGTAGGGCTGAAGAATTTATAGGTCATGTGTCATCTTTTCTTAGAGACTCGGAACTCATGTTTCCCAACCAAAATTTGGAACTGAGCATGGGGACTATTCTAAGGCAACAGTAAGGGCATATATATACATGAGAGTTTTGTCAGCCAACAGAGGTGCCCAGACCTGTCAGAAATCCTTTAGTACTGCATCAGAGTAGAAAATAAGCTTAATAAGGAAAAGGTACAGAAGGTAACATGGTCTTACATACTTTTCTCCATAGCTGGCCATTGGGAAAAGCCCTCCCTTGATCAACTGAGTGTTGCAATGGCACATTGGAGTGCCATTGCTATCAAAAGCAAATTTATATAATAAAGCTCTTAAAAATAGTTTAGTTTATGATTTTTTCCAATTTAATCCACATATCTAAATCACCAAACTAAAGGTGCCTGACTGGCTCAGTCAGTAAAGTGTGCAGCTCTTGATCTCAAGGTTGTAGGTTTGATCCTACATGATGTCGGGTGTAGAGATTACTTTAAAAAATAAAAATTTTACAAAGAAAACCATCAAACCAATTAACTTGTTTTTATAATATAAAGGTTAGAACTGCACTCTAGAGCTTGTTTTCTTCCTCGGGTTTAATCCTCAGTGCACTAGTAACTGACTAGGCAAGTCATTAAAACCCTCCCTGCTCTAGTTTCCTTATCTGTAAAATGGTGACAATATTATTACCTACCCTACAGATTTGTAAGGATTAAATGACTCGATATATGCAAAGAGTTTAGAACAACTTTATTTATTAAATGTTTTCTGACTGATGGTTATAATCTTTACTGCTACTTATTGTGAGTAGGATTGTTTTTAGAGTTTAACTATGAACACTAAAATATAAAATAAAGATGTCCTACTGTGTTAGTGTTAATGTAATAGCTATTGGCATTATCTTATAAGGTTGATAATTACAACAATTGCTCAGTGTTGTTATTTTTACCATTATCTATAAAAAGTACGTGTTGAAATAATTATAATTTAACATCTACTAAGTGCATGGGGTGTGGCTTACTTCTTTTCAAATAATGCAATTTAGTAAGTGAACTTCTAACTTCATAAGTAAAAAAAGCGTTTGTTAATTTTGGGTATTTTATATACATGATCAAAATAGATGATGTAATGATTAAAGTAGAGGTAATTTGTGCAGTACAGCCATGACCCAAATAGTAGTTAGTATCCAGTTACTTGGAGTACTTATTTGTTTTTGCTTAGAATGGATTTGTGGGCTGTTTGTCTGCTAATTGAAATATGAAAATAATTCTGCTATTCTAAATCCTACCTACTTTTTTGCTCCTTCAAATTATGAAACGAGTTGTAAATATTATCAAATATCATGTTATTCAGTGCTGGGTCATTAAATGTGAAATATTTTATAAGAGAACAATCACAGCCTGGTATGATTTTTTGAATAATCATTTCTAAAATGTGGGTATAGTTGGATATTTAAATTGTATCAGGAACTCTTTGTTATTTGGTGCCGCTGATTTGTTCTTCCATCTTAGGACCTCAGGAGAGCCAATAAGCAAGGTTTAATGATAAGTCATTTAAAAAAAAGATAATAATATAGGATTAGTCATTATTGGTACTAAGACATAAACACTGTAAATTCTAAGTGTTTCAAAGATTCTAGAAGTCGGAAAATTTCTTCCATATATGCTTCTTGGAGTCCTATGCTTTCAGGGTGCTACATAAAGAAAGCAACATAACTTTCACAACAAGCCAATTCTATTCAAAAATCTTGTCTCCATAAATCATATTGGATTATAATTCGCTTCATATCATTTTTTTCCTTAACTTTCTTTCAAAGAGATATAATTAAACACACAGTCGATTTGATTTACACTCATGATGCAAATGTCTCTATTAGGTATAGCCTACAAACCATGGAACTTCCTTATTTCTTTTACTGTGTGTGTTTTTTTTTCTTCAGAAAACTGTTTTTTCCCCCATCCCTCTGTGCTACAAAGGAAATTATTATCAAGTCTTTACTTGCATATATGTCCCAACCCTGACTGCTTCCTAATACCTCTGCAGCTGAAACCCTGTCTGGGCAATTCTTCTCTTTTTTCTATGTCTGCACTAGGCTTTCAACTAAGCCTCCTTTCCTCTGCTTTTGCTCTTTTTTCAATTTATTATAGCCCATTCCATAAACAATCCAGATATACTTAAAGCATACATTCGATCATATCCCTCCTACGCTTAAAATTTTCCCATGGCTTCTCACGAAAACTGGAACGAAACCCAAATGCCTCATACTGGGTATGCCTTTCTGCTAGATCCCATCATCTATCGCTTGACCTTTCCTTCCCTCCAGCAACAACTCCTGACTCCAGTACCCTCAGCCTCCAACTACCTTCCTGTTCTTCTAATTCCTAGAATATATCTTGTGACCTTTGCACTTCTGTTTACTCTAGAATTCTTCCTTTAGGTCTCTGATTGCCTTCTCAAAATGTATGCCCCTGTTCAAGTGTCATCTTCTTAGAGAAGTCTCTCCCAAATACTCTGAATAAAATGGACTTCTCTTTCTTCTAGATTCTCTATCTTCTTCACCCTGTTTAATTTTCTTTCTAGTGTTTATCACTACCTGCTATTATAATAATTACACATTTATACCTGTGTTCTCTTCTCCTTTGTATACTGCTTTAGTATCTCCAGACATGCCTGGCATATAGTTGGCATATAATAAACATTGGTTGAATGAAAAAAAATGACTATTTTCAATAATGGACTTTTAAAAAATTTATTTATTTTTGAAAGAGAAAGAAGAGAGAGAGAGTAGGGGAGGGGCAGAGAGTTGGAGAGAGCAGGCTCCGCATTGTCAGAGCAGAGCCCAACATGGGGCTCAAACCCATGAACGGTGGGATCATGACTTAAATCGATATCAAAAGTCAGATGCTTAACTGAATGAGCCACTCAGGTGCTTCAATAATGGGCTGTTTTTAACTCTATGATTCTCAATATCATCCCACCATTCCTTCCTATGCTATGTTTCCATGGCCTTTAGTCCTAAGGCCCCAGAAAAAATTGTCATATTTTATCTCCGCTTATTCATCTCCACTTTGATTATTGTTTTAACTCTAGCAGTTCTAACTGTAGTTATATTATATCTGACTTCTATAGATAAAATAGCGTCAGTTGTCTTTGATGACAGTTTCCTCTTTTCAGAGCCCACTAAGAAATAAAAGGAAATTAAGATATTTTCCTCGATTTGTTTTTTTTTTTTTTCTTGCAGTAAAACTTCTGATTCTTGTGTAGTCTCAGCCTCAAATGCATCTCTCATTAAGGATAACATCTAAAAAGGGTATTAAAGTTAAACCATCTTTCTGAGTTTACACAGGTGATGACAGAAATATAATGTACTTTGTTTTTCTTTCAGATCTCCCACTAAAGACATGGATTCAGAAGAGAAGGAAATTGTGGTTTGGGTTTGCCAAGAAGAGAAGATTGTCTGTGGGCTAACTAAACGCACCACCTCTGCTGATGTCATCCAGGCTTTGCTTGAGGAACATGAGGCTTCATTTGGAGAGAAACGATTTCTGCTGGGGAAGCCCAGTGATTACTGCATCATAGAAAAGTGGAGAGGCTCAGAACGGGCTCTTCCTCCCCTAACTAGAATCCTGAAGCTTTGGAAAGCTTGGGGAGATGAGCAGCCCAATATGCAATTTGTTTTGGTTAAAGCAGATGCTTTCCTTCCAGTTCCATTGTGGCGGACAGCAGAAGCCAAATTAGTGCAAAACACCGAGAAAGTGTGGGAACTCAGTCCAGCAAATTACATGAAGACATTACCACCAGATAAACAAAAGAGAATAGTCAGAAAAACTTTCCGGAAACTGGCTAAAATTAAGCAGGACATGGTGTCCCATGATCGAGACAGTATGGAGACATTAGTTCATCTGATTATTTCCCAGGACCATACCATTCATCAGCAGGTCAAGAGAATGAAAGAGCTGGATCTGGAAATTGAAAAGTGTGAAGCGAAGTTCCATCTCGATAGGGTGGAAAATGACGGAGAAAATTATGTCCAAGATGCATATTTAATGCCCAGTTTCAGTGAAGCCAAGCAAAAGCTGGACTTGCATTCTGATGAAAACCAGATTCTAGACGACCTGACCGAAAGTGATGGAATTATACATCTGGAAGAGCAATTATCATATTACAGAATGCTCATTGATAGGCTTTCTGCTGAAATAGAAAAAGAGGTAAAAAGTGTTTGCACGGAGATAAATGAAGATGCAGAAGGGGCAGCCGCAAGTGAACTTGAAAGCTCTAATTTAGAAAATGTTAAGTGTGATTTGGAGAAAAGCATGAAAGCCGGTTTGACAATTCACTCTCACTTGAGTGGCATCCAGAAAGAGATTAAATACACTGACTCATTGCTTCAGATGAAAGCAAAAGAATATGAATTCCTGGCCAAAGAATTCAGTTCACTTCATCTTAGCAACAAAGATGGATGCCAGCTGAAGGAAAACAGAGGGAAGGAATCCGAGGTCCCCAACAGCAGTGGGGAAGTTCCTTCCTTTACTCCAAGAGTACTTAACTTGTATACAAATGACACGGACTCAGACACTGGTATCAGCTCGAACCATAGTCAGGACTCGGAAACAACTGTAGGAGACGTGCTGCTACTGTCGACATAATTTGAATGGCTTTCTGACCTGCTTCAATGTCGTTCATGGTTGCTTAATAGAGAACCTTATTTTAAACACACGTTCTGAAAAATGATGCAATTTATGTTAGCTATTCGGAAGTTAATAAAAGCTAGAGAAATTTTTAAGTTTATTTTTGATTTAAGATTTCTAAAGTGACCTCCTGATTACAAGTTTAGATGATGAGCTGTTTATTAGGAATACAACACAAATAGCTTGCAGGTGTATATCAGAAACGGTTTGATGGGAAATATAATCTTTTATAGCTTCTGTGGGAAACGATTTATACAAAACTAATTCTTATAGTACAGTCAGTATATTGAGACTGTACACATGAACAAGTAAAATGAAAATGTGCTGTAATATATTTTTTCAAAGGCCTATCATTGGAATTTTTAAATCTGTAAAGTACATGAAAGCTATTGTATTGTAAGTGTACTAATACAAGGCTTGGTTTTTCTCATTGATACTTAGAATGTACACTATCTCTGTCACTTTCTCAACCTCTCTACTTGTGTAAACCGAGAAAACAGGAGGTGGGAAGGGCTGCCGTTGGCACATGTACAAATTCTAGCAGTGGATTGTATGGGGGTATAGATGAGAGGGCCAAGTGCTGCATTACAATAGCGTTTTTCTAAAGCCTAAAATTATTAAAATTAAAATATGCATGGCCTTTCTCTGACAAAGCAAATCTGATCAAACAAATAATCTGTGCAGGTTTGTTTTGTGAGTGAGGTTACCGAGAACATCACAGGGCCACAGTCTTGTTTCTGTATGCCCTGTCTGCAAAAGTCAATGAGTCAATGACAGGCAACTTGGGGTCCTTTGTGTGGGTAAAATAGAGGTCTCTATGCCATAAGTATTAGCATTTTGTTTCTGAACCTACAGAGAGGAACTCACATGGACAAAACTACTTAATTCTAGTACACTAGAATTCAGATTGTGTGTGTAGGAGTTCATCTAAGATGCCAACTAAAAAAAAAAAAAAAAAAAAAAAAAGGACTAGTTCTAACCCCACTCCCCCAAGGATGCTGGTAAATATCCAACAAATTAAATGGCTTATTTAGATCATACCCTGAGTGACACTCATTATAGTACCAGACTAGGTTTGGTTTTACCTGGTTTTTAGTTAGGAAGTTGTTGTTTTGTTTTTTTTTTTCTCTCTCTTTCCCTTCCTTGCTTCTTGCTAGTAAACACATGATGTAATCCTATTGAAACAATTAGTTGTATTCTTTTATTGTACTGTCAGATAAATACCATTGCAGTTTATTTTTTTTTTTACCTGACACTTTTCCTGTATGTGAGGATGTAAGTGAGAATATTATCTTACTTAGTTTTAATATGTGGATATTGGTAAAGATCCAGTATTTCTTATTTCCTCCCTTTAATTCCCATGCTTACTGTAGTGCATGTTTTAATTCAGTTTCTTAATCTACTTTTTTATTACTCCATTCCCTAGACTTTTCACCAATCTTTGGGAAGATACTTACAATATTTTAGTATTTTCACTTTTGGGGAGCACCTGTGCTATCATTTTTCGCACCAAGATAATACTAAAGGCCTTAGTTGAAGTTGGCTGGTAAAGAAAGTACAAATTTCCATTCCAAGGAAAATAGAGTGATAATAGAGTAAATAATAATGCTAACATGGGTTTAATTGAAAAAAAAAAAAAAGCAAGTAATGGAATAGTCATCTGAGAAAGAGAGATTTCCAGAAATCCAGTTAAATCAACCAGCAAATAAGGCAAATTATTGATACATTCACTGTTCACTCCCGGAGATTAAATTCAGAAGATAGTCATCAGTGATAAATCAACTGCAATGTTGTTCTCTAAAAGTGAAAGCAGTCTCTTTGGATAACTCTTCAGTGAGAAAGTAATGAAAAAAACCCAAAACATTACTTAATCTGCTATATAATTTGACTAATGTCTGAATTCAAAAGAGGTTCTGATAAGAAATAGTACCGGACAGACCATTTCATTTTAGAATCTTTGAATTCTGCTTTTATATAGTTAAGCACAGTGATACATTCTAAGAATTACACTGCTATATTTTTACAATAATTTATGTTAAAAATTCTTGTCAGAAAGCAGAACCATTGATTTAAATTCACTTTAGAATTTCTAGCTGTTCTTTAGTTATACAAATGTATTTGTGCTTTTGATTCACCACAATATTAAATCATCAGCTACCATGGTGTGCCTCTAATTTAGAGTAATATATTAATACAAATAAAAATACTAAACTAAATGCTCTCGTCTCTGGAGACTCAACTCTCCTTTATAAATTGAGAATTTGAATTATAAGTACAGAAATGTTGATAGAAATGTCAGTGTTTTAATTATATAGAGAATCTTTAAAATAAAGGGTTTATAAATTATTGAGTAACCTGACAGATTAACTATGAAAATGGTATATGCAGCTAAGAAGTAGCATACGTACCAAAGCTGACTATTCTTCCTTCTTGTAACAACTCAGATTTTCATAGACTGTGCCTTTTTCATTCTCCCTCTTGGAATATGTCTTTTTCCTTCCATCTGCCATACACTGAAGTGTACACATTTTGTCTTGTTAACATGTTATTTCTTCTATGAAACATTTATTCAATTCAATCAATTGTAATAGCTCTGAGCCCACAACTATTTTAGGTGTACTTTTCATAGAGGAGCACTTTTATTAGGGCTTAGCTTATATTTATTTATGGACTTACTCAACTTCACTCCCCCAATATATATTTTTTTGTTTTATCACTTTGTCTTCTATCTTGTTAACCATACTCCCTCCAATCAACCTCTTTACCTCTTTGCCCCTACTGAATTTTTTAGTTGAAATGCTAAATTTTGAAGGCTGCAACCATTTTAAAAATTGTTTCTATAACATGGTAAATAATGCTCATGCATTTCATATATAAATATGCATTTTAGCAGACTTAAAGCATTAACAGTAACTTGACCCATTAGTTCTTTAGGGGAGACACTAAGTCTTTGTGTTATTATGAAAAAAAATATATTGGCAATTTTTTCCTTTATTTTTAATTCACAGTTACTGATTTAAGGCAATGCAATTATTGCCTTTTTAAAAGAACCTCAATGGTTAAATTATGGTATTTTTCTCTGCATTGTATGCATGTAGGGCAAAAATATATTCTGTAGAGTTGAGTTTTAAGTAGTAGACACAAAAAAACTGAAATATCCTAAATGAAATATCTATTTTATTTTCTCTTTCTAATTAAAAAAAGGGCCATTCAGTGTGTAGAAGCTATTCTAATCCATTAAAATTTTATTTTTATATTATTTAAGTATCTACTGTGCATGACAAAATATATTTCTGTGGCTGCATTTTATAGTTTTTCAAAGTAGGATTATCATTTTATTTAGAATGTATTTTTCTAGCGACAAAAAAGATACCTTTTAATCCAGATACAGATTTTTAAAAATATTGGCTATTTCTTTTTATACTACCTGATTCGTTTAAAAATTCTGATGTGACAAATATAAACTATATATATCATTTCTTCAGATGTAACTAATCCAGATTAATAAAAGAAATAGTTATACCTTTTCATGTGATATTGTTTGTCTTTCTGAGTGTGTGACTATATTAAAAACAAATATTAATTGGAGATATCTAACTTATATAAGTTAAGATCAGGTATTTCATGAGAATATATAGCAAGTAAGACATAATAAAACTTTTTATTAGGTTTCATAATTTCTGTTTCAATTTGTCATGAGTGTCCTCATTTCTGTATTGGATGGCTGGTTTTATGGCCTGGTATCTTGCTTTCTAGAATGAAATCTACTTTAGTGTAATAATATTCAAGTGTAAATCTTCCCTGCTATTTTTTACTTGGTCACTACCCTTATTTCTCAAAATTGGCCTTTAATTTTAACTGTTTTAATAACTAAATCATTTGAAAATTAAGGAAACTCATTTGGTCATTCCATAAATGACCATAAAATCACTCTACTAAAAGATTGTGTATAATAGCCAATGACAAAACATAGGAATAAGTTAACACTATTTTCTTAGCCATATATACATATATACCTATACATGTATAGATTATGTCTAGAACACCTCATAAATAACACTTAATAATGGACATTTCTCAGGAAGACACCTGGGAACTTAGGCCCCGGGATAGAAGGAAGACTTACTTTTCATTTTGCACATGTTTTGAGTAATTTGAATTATAGTAATAATAATAATTTGAATAACATATGTTTGGTTTCCTTGTGTTAATTTTTACATTAAAATATAAATGTTTACATGATCCTATATTATTCATATAGAGAATCTTATTCTGTTTGATGGCAGCAAAAGTCAATTATCATAATTTATTTCACCAGTACTTTCCCAATGAGCATTTAGGTGCTTTCCAATCATGTACTTTTACAAACAGTATTATCCAACTAGAACATTTCTGTGAGGGCTAGATTAGAAATGGTGGGTCAAAGAATGAGAAACGGATTTTTTTTTAATTTTAATAAACTTTGCTAATGATTCTTTATGGAAATTAATCATTTATAACCTGAGTTGAAAATATACTCTTCCCTCTCACAGTGTATACTATTTGTCTTTTTAATTTGGTTATTTTAATGCAAAACATTTTTTAAACTTTTTTTGATTTTGAATTTGAAAGTTTTTCTCATTAAAACCTCATGAGCTTTTTTCTTTGCCATTCTTAAAAAGGCCTTCCACTGCATGAGAACTAATTTTAAAAATAAATGCCTCCCAAGCATCGTTTATACAACATTTGTTTTATGTTTTACTTTTAAACATTTGAATTATCTGGAATTTATTTTGTTACAGTGTACAAAAGTAAGGAGAAAAAAATTTTTAGTATTTCTCAGTTATCTCACATTGCTTACTAAAGAACTGTGTCCCACTTTTTATTTTTTGTTTATTTTTATTTAAAAAAAATACTGTTTCTTTGTACCGATTTCTTTTTCAGAGAGACAGAGCACAAGTGGGTGAAGGGCAGAGAGACGGAGGGAGACACAGAATCCGAAGCAGGCTCCTGGCTCTGAACTGTCATTACGGAGCATGATGTGGGGCTTAAACGC